CCCCTTATATAGACGTCGATTCCGAAAACAAGAATCTTCTAGCCAGTTGTGATTTCGCGATTCAGATTCCTAAAACCATTTGGCATCTCTTGTGTTTCCAAAAACTAACATAATGGTTTTATGGTTAGAGGTGGTTTTAGGGTGCGCCATGGAGTAAGTACGAGGGAAGGTGGATTCCCACACTGTAGAGACTAGAAATCTGTCTAATTTGGTGAGAAGGGGACACAAAGCTTGGTTGGACCAAGTGAACTGGGCACCATTTCGAGGGATGTCTATTAAAGTCTACAAACGTGGAAAAGGCTCTCATACTAGATGTTATCCTACCCCTTGTGTTCTTCTCGTACCCATCTGATAACATTGGAATCCCCTCCTAGAAACCACAGGATGGCAGGGTTGGGGGCCTTTGATTCCACCTTTGGCCAGGGGGATTGCCTACTTTTACGGCAGTTACAACCATAAACCAGGGAGGCTTTCCAATGGAAGCCATTGGAAATCCTCTGAAAGACCAGGTTGACTGAGAAGTCTCTTAACAGGAGGAAAGAAGCAACAAATCAGTGTGCTTCCACATGACCCAGGTACTTCTGGAGGCCCCACTTGACTTCTTAGCCATCGAAGTCCAATGTTTCCTACCCCAATGTCCATAATATGGGAAAGTTCAGGAGTAGGCATTTTGGTTTCAACTTTCAAGCAAGGCCAAGACCTCAGGATTATGGGTTTGAGAAGAGAACGGATAACACTCCTTTTGTCATGGCTTCCCTAGCCCCTAATGTTCCAACAAAGGATCTTTATTTGGGAGAATTTGGAGGGTGGACTTCTCTGTGCCTCGACCGCCGCCCAGGCAGACTAGTACCTAGACCTTGTTGAGGCAAGAAAGGAAACGAGCTGCGGAGGTTCTAGGGAGAGACTGTAATTGATCTCAGAGTGAGGATGACTAGCTCTCTAGTACCCTTAGAGAACCTGGGTTTACGGTCTTACCTTAGAAGCTCCCGCATTATTGTGGAGGACGTCCAACAGGTCTGAGATGTACCTGCCATTGATGAAACCCATATTTGCCTAGCATGGTGTCCATATTGGGCTTTCCTCTAAGCTAACCTTGAGGTATCAGAGGGAAGGAATCTGCCTGGTTCTGAGAGGGCAGTTGGGGAGTGAAGTAGAATAGAGGAGGGAGGGAGGCAAGATTCTGCATCTGGTGATGTGTATTGATGGAAAACGTCACGTCACGAGGGATGGGGACAAGGGTGTCCATGTTCTTGAGGGGTCCAGTAGATCAAGAGTGCAAGAAGTGTAGTAGCAAAAGTGGAGTTTGAGGAAGCAGGTGAGACAACATTCGAGAAGACGAAGAGGGGGAGTTCCTAGGGTGCTATTTGATGCAGGTGAGTACGAGGATTAACTGGGCATATTGGACATACAGGGGGTGGACGGAGGCAAGAGCTTGGCGAGTGTGGGGAACTTGGGCTAAGCTAGTGGTGAGGGAGGTAAGGATGGATTATCTACCTAGGGGCAAAGAGGAATTTGGGCAAGGATAAGTAGCTGTTTCTGCCCTCGTGGCATTTTGTTATGTGTTGAATGTTCTGTGCTCTGCAACTTAGAGGAGAGGTCAGAAGGTGGTAGTGAGGGATAGTTAAGAGGAGAGGGATGAGAGAGAGGCGAAGGCTTTAAGGACCTGTACTGAGCCGGTTTTAAAGTTATTCCTTCCATGACAGCAGCATGATCCAAATTGTTCTCGAGGTCCTCTAAAACTGTTGTTGAACTCCATTCAGGTATTCAAAAGCACACTTTTTATTTTATTTTATTTCCTTTTTGTTTTCACTATTATCCACTCTTCTCTCTTCCGTTGAGTAAGTATCATCGAACTTCGTTTTCAGTTGCTATTATCTCTTTTGCAACTGTTTTGCTCTCTAAAATTGTGATTCTGAGTTTTGCAAGTCCTGACCGTACCTGCATTTTTCTGTATTTTCTTTTTTGCTAATAATGAAAGCTCTATTGCTGCCTACCCATTATGAGGGCTACCTCACGTCCAACAACATGGATCCTCACTTTATCTATCCTCTCTCTACAATCCAAAACCAACTCTTTTTTTCTCTCTCCTCTTTTCCAAACCAAAACCTAATCCACTTTCTCTCACCTCTCTACCAACCAAAACCCCACTATTCTCTTTCCTCTCTCTACCGCCCAATATTCAAACACCCTACTCTCCAAAACTCTGTTTCACCCGCTTTCTCTCGGAAAACCTACTCTGTTTTAAACTGCATTCTCACGGCGAATTCCCCCATTTAAAGGATACGACACATTCTTTAATACTCAATTCTCCATTATAAAACCCATTTAACCCAATCGTTTTGATCTTTAGTGCCCATAATCCCCTAATACAAGGAACATGCATGAGAATTGTTTCTTCCAGATGATTTAAACAGTAGAAATGCATCTTCCATGTTGCATCTAGATGCCATCCAAAAAACAGAAACCATAGTTGTTGGGATTAGGACGGGGATAGGGATTGGGAGCGGGATCGAGAGTGTTGGATCGTGATAAGCTAGAACCTCCCTATGGTTGGGACCACTATCCTTACACCCTAAACTTTAGGGATCTTGACCCAACATGTTGGGTTGTGGGATCGCATGATAAATTCTAAAGGTGCAAGACCCATCTAGTAAAAGTATCTCTTTTCTCTTTGAAATATATAAAGAACATGTTTTTGCAACATAATTATTTCTTGGACACGGTATTTCAGAGGCTTGGGACTCATATGTAGATATGCATCCCCTCTTCAAGATCCATTTTTGAGATGAATTTTGGACTTAATTTTTTAGTTATGTATTATCTCTAACATGTTCTATAGGACGATTGTAAGACCAGCCATACTTTATTAGCGGAAGGTTGGGGCGGTCAATACACAACATATACATAAGATGAGCGTAGCTGAGATGAGGGTGTTGAGATGGATGAGTGGCAAGACAAGAAATGATCGACTTCAGAATGAATGCATACGAGAGAACTTAAATGTGGCTTCAATAGGCGATAAGAAGAGAGAAAGTAGACTTAGTCGGCTGACCATATGTAGAGTAGACCTAATACAACACTGGTTAGGAGGTGATTTAGTTCAAATGGAAGGCTCTAAAAAGACATGGATGGAAGTAGTAAGATAAAATATGGTAACTTTTGGTCTTATTAAGGGCATGACCCTTAACAGAGAAGAATGGACGAACATGATTCATGTAGCCGACCCCAAGTAATTCTGATAAGGCTTGAATGATGATGATGATGATGACAAATCTCTAACATGGAGATCATGAACGTGTAAAAATAAATAAATTTTAAAACTAAAAATGATAATGTTTGAAAGAATTTGATTTTGCCTTGCCCCTTTTTGGAGAGACCACAACTCTACCTCTATCTTTAAGATGGATGTGTGATGTCATGGGGGAGGCAAATGTAGCTATGCGTCCCTTGATGCATCCACTTTTCCTTATTTCTTCTTTTATTGGATATGAATTAGGTCTTTTTTCTTACAAAGATCGATCTAAAATGAGTGCGATCTATATCCACCAATCCATATGGGATTGGGATCGTGTTCCCCCCATACGGGAGCAAGATCCACTCAAGATCTAGCTCCAGGAGCATGGCATCACCGGGACTGCCACCAACTTAGGAGATCCCGGTAACTATGACTAAACCTCATTTTTTAGGAAATACGTTTTACACGAAATATATTTCATGGGAAATAGATTTTCAAGACAATTTTTTTTCCAGGAATGCAAACGGGCTTGCTCTAGAAGCCCCCGCTTCAAAAACTCTAGCACTTCCGTGATTGATTACAGAAGTACGTTACCATTTCGGAAGCTTTCGCTTCCTGCGGCTTCCAATATAGTGTTAAAAAGTAGGAAGATGTGGCTTCCAAAGATGCATCCCCCAAGATCAAACTCATCCTAAGGTTTATCATCAAGCAAGGAGATTCATGGTTTCAAGATGAGCGAAAATGCAGTTGTAGGTGATCTTTCCCTTTACTCATAAACATGAAACGTACCTCACAACCATTTGAGAAAAATTACAACCAGGGTGATTTTTGAGAAAAATTACAACCAGCGTAACTTATGTTGATCGGTTCAGGAAGAGCAAATATGCAGTTATTGTTTGTCAATTTGTTTCCTTGAACAATTCTAAATAAGAAAGTAGTCCGCCATTGATGACAAACGTCAAGTCAAAATTACTCTTTTTATCGTAACTTATGCTCAGGCCTGCATTCTGTCCTGTAATACTTAGTGGGCTCATTTGTTGTAAACCTATTTTTGTGCTTGTCCAATTATGTATTGTGACTTTCTATCATCTTACAACCGCTCAGGAATCTATACTTTGGATAAAAGGATCCATATTAGAAGGCTGATATTGCAACAATCACCTCGTGTTAAGTTCAATTCTTTGCACCATAAGATGGCTTGTACTTCCTAGAGATTTATGTTTTTATTAAATTGCTTTGACTATGTTTGCTTTATCAATCCAAAAGAAACTTTCTATAGTTGATCTAATTTTCATTATAATGGAAAAATAACTTCAGCAATTACAAGGGGCTCAAAATCCATCGTTTCACTTCTTTTTCGATCTCATTTGGATGCATTTTGTTTAATTATACTTTACTTTTGCTTTTCATTTTTTTTGGGATTTAGTTTCTTTTAGATTTTTTTTAACCCTTTTTAGCCCGGTTGGGACATGCCCTGTTACCCAGAATAGTTCTAGCTTACTCGGACCCGGTCCATGGCCGGTTCGTGCAATCGAACACTGCCTGTGAGTGTGCACGCGCACACATGCAAATGTTCTAGCTTGATGCTGGACATGTTACAGTTTAGTAGATGGAACATGTTGGGCTTATCTTAATCCTGGAGAGTTTCTTTATGCCACTTGTACTATCTTTCTTGTGTATTTGTGTCCTTCCTTTGTTCTTCCTTTCGTTTTACCATTTCTGTGTAGTATTGGCATTATCATGGTTTCATATTTTCGATGTGCAGTGTGATTTGATGATTCAAGGAATGAGATTGAATAATTAGAAATGCTTCATCCTTATGGTACTAAGGAGATCCAAGTGAAGACAATTTGACGAAATGGTTGACAAGGAATGTCGTGAAAATGGTGTTTGAGAATAAACTGCAACATCGTAACCCTCATAAAATCTCTGCATATGGTTGCCTTGTAGACCCAGCATTGTGTGCATTGAGAGAGAGAGAGATATGGTTAGTCATTTTTTGAGAAGGTTAATCAGGTGTTTGATATCCTTCTAAACAAGTGTTTGTGACTCTCTCTCAGGAATAAACTGGTGTTTTTCGGCTAGCTTTGAGGTGTGGCTTTGGCCCTGCCCTTACAAAGTACTTTTATCTTGTTGTATCCTTTTCTTGTGGGTTGTTTGCTGGCTTTTTATATATTTTCCCAATAATATATTGATATTCCTGAGAGAAACGTTGTTGATATGGATTTCAAAAAAAGAAAAGAAAAGAAGTGGTTGATATATTTTCTGTAATATATTGACAATGGCTAGAGAGAAAAGTTCTCAAATATGTTATTGGAAAATATATGAAAGATATTTATATTTATGTCTATAGCATAGTTGGTCAATCCAGTGGGTTAACCAAGGATTGGCCCAATTCCACACTTTAAATTAACCGCACCAAAAAATATAAAAAATAATTTGAAAAATAAGTTGATCGAAATACCTTTAAAATATTTAGAGGTAATAAGGTAGATTTATTTATTTATTTTTGAATCCTAACATTTGCATGGATCTAGAGCACACTTGGAAAATTTCATTTAATATCTTACATGCGTGAGAATTAAAATAAGAAAAAAGGTTTATATAAGGTTGCAACCTTAAAATGTAGAATTAAGGTGCACTTTAAATCCACCATAGAACCACCATAGAAGGTTGTTTTGATGTTGGAAAACCTTTTAATTGATCATCTCGATTTTGGGACGTATGAATATAAATCGAGATGTATGAATATGAAAAGAAAAAAAGATTTTGATTCCTAAAAATAGAGTATCTCGCAACAAATTATTTAGACAGTTTATGTTCAAGATTTTCAAGTGTTTGTGGATATACTTTGAATCATTTTTGGAGTTTAAGATTTTATATTGGAGATGAAAATAGGTTTTCAAGCCATCTAAAGAATTTTTGACACCAAAATTGTATTTATAACAAAATTTAGAGATGCACCTTAATTTGATTGTTTAAGGTTGCAACCTTATACAAACTACACCTTTAAAATAAATATAAAATGCAATTGTCGTTTTTAAACTCACTAGTGTCTTTGAAAGGGGTTTTTGTATAGGCTAGAGATTTTTGGGCTCACTCTTCAAGGCTGATTTTAGAGGGACGCACCATTTTGGGCCCCATGGTTTCTCATTTTTCGGATCGTGGACTCAGCTTGCCATGGCTTGAATGTGCTTACTTGTGGACATGAGCTCACGTTGGTTAATAAAAAATAAAGTGAACTCAGAAAAAAAAAAAAAAAATGGTTATGGTCCATCTTGAGTAAATTTGTTAACTGGGGATTTCACATGGTTGGTATTGGGAGGCGCGACCATACAGACTAGACTCCCATGTTTTATTGCACTGATCCATATGCGGCGGCTCTACAAACTCGTGGTGCCTGTTGGTACTTTGGGCCAAAACTATCTATAGACAACTGATTTAAAGAAAGGAGTCCCTGTGTGCTTGTTATGCCTCTTAAAAGACTGATTGTTGAAATTGTGTGGATTTGGTGCTAATTTGGGCTTTAATGTAGCAGGAGCATTGAGCTTAAGTGGGCATGACGGCTGTACTTGGCTACTAAAAGAGATAAATGATCATCCTATTCGCTTCAGATAATCCTTTTTAGAAAGAACCCCATGTTGTAAGTTCTTATCGGGAATTAATTCTGCTTCGGGCTCATCTTCGGTGCTCCAGTTCTGGTGAGACTCTTGGACAAGGAGAACTGCGAGGTTTGGTTGCCTCAAGGCATGTTGCGGTTTCTAGGCTGAGGCCACGACCTTACCTATCACTTATGTTGTTTCATTTCTATGGCTGGGAGTTTGATGCGAATGATCCCCATGGGTGCAGTGCTAGCTAGGATCTGATGAGATTGGCTCTCATGGGTACTATGTCGGCTGGGGGTTTAATTTGTGGACCTAGACCTTTGAACTTGATCTAGGTTGCTATAGCTTGAAAGTCGGTGACTTGAATTTGATGATTGACTAGGGTTCTAGCAAGTGACATATTGTTCGGGTAGTTTGATCGTATTTGACTACCGGTGTTAATCCGGTTGGGATTAGTTGGACAGAGCTTGTTTGAAGGATGGACCTCAGCTCGACCAGATTGAGCGAGTTGGTTTCCTACTAGTTCCTGAAGTAGTGCCCCTGGTCTCATCCCTTGACTATTGAGTGTGCTGCGGACCATGCTGACGTGGTGATCCACGGTTCCTAAGTGGTACCCTAAGGGGGTGCTAACCCTAAGACCATAGTATTTTGCTATAATTCTATGTGGGTGAAAGTCTTAAGTCTTCCATGATGGTGTCATGTGCCTGAGGGGCATGGTATTCCCCAGACTGATGGCTTGGTGTACCAGACCTTGACACAGGGATGAAGCTACAGACTCAATGTATGAGCCCAACCACATCCGAGTTTGGTCATGGGACATCAAGTTTGACCTAAATTAACCTGGTCTAGTATAGTATAAGCACCAACCACGAAAAGTGTTTCAATAAAGTTTCCCAAAGTTCTATAGATCAAGATTGATAGGCGGGATTCCTGGCTAATGAAAGCACTAAAATGTGGCTTAGGTCTAGATACATCCACATATGTTCGAGCTTACCACCTAAGGGTGAGCTTTGGTCCTACAATTGTGGGGTGCTCTTAAGGTAAACAATTGTGGAGGGATGCTCACCTTAAGGCTACAAAACTCCCAACTGTTCGGAGAGCTAAGAACCCCTCACGTTTTTAATGTCGGTTTCAGGGGTTTTCAAAAACTTGATATAGTTTTTTGAATACATCAGCAGGTGTGAGCAAGAGTTGCGGAACAGAGCACTCAGGTGAGCCGGTGCAAATATGTGGCAAGCACGCCTAAGAATAAAGCAAGTAAATTTTCTAGATGACTAAAATGTTACAATTAAGGTAGGCAATAAATAAATAATAAAGGAAAATCATACATTCTATCTTTTTCTATACGCAAAGATTAATTTATGGATGAGAAAAGAAAGCAGGAAAATTCTAAAAATGAGTAGGAACATGAATGTGGGATTTGGGAGGAGTTTGTGGGCCAATTGGAGTGAAGTTCGGGGGTAGTTTTGACCGAAATTCAGACAACCCAAAGCTCATAGGCCCCATGGTGGGCACTGGACTATTTATACATGATTTTGAGACTGACCAGACCAATTTAAAGTTTGATCTGTTTGTGACTGTGTCCAAACTTATATTTTACAAGTCATAAGCGGTGGTCTGTCAAATTCAGAGCTATGAAGAAATCAGTTTGAAAAGATCTATTCATCACAAATCTGCAGATGAGCCGGCTTAGGTTTGTGTAAAATATGAGACAAAAGTGGAAAAAAGAAAACGTAAATAAGAAATATTCTAAAGAAGATAAAGATGAATAATAAAGCAATAATTAACAAAATGAAATAAAAGGAAGAAAGGATCTGATGCTGGGCCTTCAGGCTCGACACTATAGTTGGGCCCTGACAAGAGGGTGAAGATTGAGTCTCCACTGCTTAATCTTCAAGATTGCAGCTCTAAAAGAATGATTATACTATGGCGGCGTGGCTTTGTTTTGACTTAAAAGGCTCGTTTTTATGTTTGAATTTTGTTGAATTAGGGTCTTGGATCTAGGGTTTCAGTAGCCTAAGTCTAGGTTTTAGGGTTTTTGATTTGGAATCAGGATTAGAGTTTGGATATTAGGGTTTTGTGCAATGGATTTATCAGAAGAGCAGGAAAAAGGTCTGTTCATAGGCAAAAATTACCTAAATAGGAACTTGGAAGTTCATAACCAATTCGGGGTTGCCATGTGTCAGCGATATGTAACTAAGCCCTTTGTTTCCATGTCACTGATAACTATTTGACTCAAGCTGACGCAAGTTTTTTGGGATTTTCCCTATTGATATATTTTCTTGCAGATTTTGTTTGAAAATTCTCAATTTGACTGTTCCTGGAATATATTCTCTCTAATTTGAACTGGGACCTACCTATTTTGGATGATTTGGTTTTTAACTTAGGATATTTGGGATCTATGATGTATTTAGTGAATAGTTTATGTTAGATTATGGTATGTTATGGACTATGGTTTAGTGCATCCTATAGTCTACTAGGACAGTGTGCTCTAGGTTTGTAGGACTCGGAGATAAAATTAAACTTGAAAGGGGTGTCTACACTACTGCTTACCTGAATCTTAAGAGCATAAATAGTAGAAGGATCCCATTGAGATCTATGTTAACTTCAGGGGATTAGAGAAGATGTTGGTCATCTAAAAATCCTAAAGAGAAGAGGGATCACAATATTACTCTTTTTGAGGTTTTTTTGGTGTGGGGTAAAGCACTTATAACAGTATTCACGATATTATGCTTTCTACTGGAAACACACGTTATTCTATGTATTATGCCGATGTCAAGCACATTCTTGATTGGATAAACTTAAAAAATTTTCTAGAACCCACTCAATCACCGTCTTCGAAGACATGCTGCATGAAGAGGTGGAACGTTATGTAGATGACTTGGTGGTGAAATCGAGTGAAAGGAGCGCTCACATTCAGAATCTTGAGCGAGTCTTGGAGCGATTTTGTCTTCACCAACGTGAACCCCCCTAAAGTGTGCCTTCGGTGTTTGGTTAGGAAAATTCTTGGGGTTCATTGTCAGTTCTCGAGGCTTGGAGATAGAACCTATCAAAATCAAGGCCACCTAAGAGATGCCATCCCCAAGGAATCTTCAAGAGCTCAGATCTCTCCAAGGCAAGTTGACATACATTCAAAGATTCATCTCTCCAAGGCAAGTTGACATACATTCAAAGAAAGACGTGTCATTTGAGTGGGACGAGACATATCAATTGGTCTTTGAAGACATCAAGACCTCCTGTGCTCTTAGCTCCAATTCCAGGGAAGCCCCTCATTCTTTATGTGACTACTCTAGATGAGTCACTTGGTGCCCTTCTCGCACAAAACAATGAAAAGGGAAAGGAGACAACCTTGTATTATTTCAGTCGAAGAATGCAAGGGGCCAGGGAGAATTACTCCCCGATTGAGAAGATGTGCTTATCCTTGATCTTCGCCGTCCAAACCTCTGACACTATCTCTTGGCACATGAAGTTCGGCTCATTTCACGAGCTGACCCCATTAAGTCTCACATATCGCGCCCCTGTCTTTTGGGCCGCCATGCGAACTGGTCATTACTCCTCATGGAGTTCGACATCACTTACGTGCCTCAAAAAGCTGTCAAAGGACAAGCACTAGCAGATTTCTTAGCTG